AACCCTGGGTCGACCAGGACCAGCAACGAGAAAACTACTCCCGCGAGTACCTCCTGCAGCGTTTGCCGTTGGTTATCCAAAGAGGCAATGCTGCGGCCGTAATGGGTACCATGGTCACCTACAAAGGGCCACACCTAGAGCTACAACTGCAGCTCATGAGATATAGCACGAAAAGTTTAGTGGAAACATAATGAGATAATATATACCGTATTTATTCTAATAGAATGGCATGCTCAAATAACCGGCATGCTCCAATAGAACGGCACCCGTATGAGATTTCGGAAAATAAAGCGGCATGCTCCAATAGTACGGCATGCTCTAATGGAACGGCACGGGTAAAATGACTTGAGGGGAGGTGGTATAAATTGTTAGATTCCTTGAAGATATCAAGGGTATACAAAACGATTCATCGAGAGTGATGTCACGAATCCTCCCCTGGCTAGTCAAGGAAAACGCGGGGTTCTCCTCCACGGTCGCTGATGAGGGGATACGTGCGCTAATGAGGGATTGGGGATTGGGGTTGTCTAACGTGATAGACACCTCCCGTGATGATTTCCCGCGTGAATGATTGTTATCTTTTTCTCCCTCTCTCCCCTCTCCCTCACGCGACCGTCCCCGATGCGCGACATTTATTGTTGGACACTGTATTACTGGAAATATATTTATGGATACGGGAATATGCGCAGGTTTGGGCCTTCTATTACACCATACGACGACTCGTATGTGACAAGTGAAGGCAGAGATCGTTTGAATACTCATTTTTGGAAAAAACACGGGTAGGCTCCATCAGCTCTAATAGGGACCGCCCATCCGATGGGGGATCGAAAAATAGAGCGGCATGCTCCAATAGAAGGGCATGCTCCAATAGACCGACGCCTGATGAGGGGATCGAGAAATAGAACAGCATCTATTAGAATAAATACGGTAGGTTGAATAAAAATAATAATTGTAGCTGTTCTGCGTGATTCTCCCTCATTGCCACTACTGTTCCCTGGTGCTCGCAGATAGGAGTACGTGGGAATCCCCAAAAGCCCGTATCGAGATATGTACCAGACTTAGGTTTAGGTTTTTCAGCCATCTCGGACTGCCTCTTTCCATGAACGCCGTATGGAATCTGATCTGAGTAACGCAATCCGAATCGTGGATATGCGGATAAAAATTTGCTCGTTACCACTTTGAGGAACTTTGAATTGCGATTAGTCTGAAAGATTAAGCCATCCGTCAATCCGGGGATGTGAATTCTGAGCCTGGGATCGTCTCCTCAGCATTTCGGTTCCGTAGTGAGAGAGGTCTCTCGTCGAAGTCGCTCAGATGAGCGAAGCAGCGGAGCGGTGATACGGGATAAGTATCTGCGACAAACTCCAATATTGAGTTAGAGAAGCATTAAAATCTCAGGTGTGGCTCTCATTCGAGCTGCGCGAGAATCATTGATCTCTCCTCTTCCATTTATCGTATACTTCCCGGACGATGGATTCGAATCAGATTCGAATGAGACTTCGACAATAAAATCCTTGACGTGCGGAACTCCTCATATTGTGTTGTCTTTGTACATCTCTAAGCTCCGAGAAATTCTCTCTCAGCGTACTGCAGTAAAAGCTCGATACTACGAACACGAAGGGACCGACGAAACTGGTTCGTTGTACCGAGTTTCCGCTGTAAGGGATGCTGCTCAACACTATCCCTATGGTGAGCTGGCCAAAGGAGGAGAAATTCCTCGTTCGTTGTCCCGAGAAATTCGTTGTAATGGGGGTCGTTATAACGAGCTTTTACTGTACCTTCCTCTCATTCGCATGTGTCGTCCTTTATGAATAATGAACGGCGACCACCTAGGGGATTCTTGCATCTATTATCCCCAGACAACCCCTCTCGCTCTCGCGCTGCTGAGGGCTGTTCTGCATTGTGCTCTGGTTTACATACATCTCCCTCCGCAAGTGCTGTTTCCCAATCCACCGATCAAAGTTGCCGGGATCGACGACCAACACGAGAAAATCGGGAACCGGAACTGCCGAAATTCCCATACGAAGGGGGACTCTGAGAGCCGGAAGGAGTATGAATTTTTAAATTGACCGAAGCTTCGACACCAAGCTCCTATCTACCATATAGTGTTTTCCATTGTCAAAGTCGACCCCCCGGGGCTTTGATTGATAGTTTGCGACTCCGGCCTTCCCAAAACGACTCGAGTCCTCTCCGGAAACTCCCGCATGAGCTCATGCACATTAGAGAATGGAAGAAAGCCACTGGAAGTTGACGTTTGAGAAGATTCATTGACTGGAGTCGGGTTACCGCTTGTTCTCGAAGATTTCTACATGACACGAGACATGTCATCTCATGCTTACCCGTCGCGACACTCTTTCTCTCAACTGTGACCACAGTGGTATTCCACCGTACCCGACATTTGTATTAGCGCCGACGCTCTCGTTCCACAATGCTACATTCCTTGTCAAGCCGCTGCCTGCTATACATTTGCTTCCATAGTTTTGTGGGAGGATCAACTCTTGGTGAGTGTGCGCCTTGTAGGTGTATATTCCTGTGTTGAATTGCGACTGCGGTGAATTGCGCATCCGAGGATCTCTCAAACTCGTCAAGGGTGGCGAGAAGAGATGAAGACGAAGTCTCGAATCGTGGGAAGCAAGCTTCGCCCGGAAGAATTCCCCCCTTAATTTTCATGAATTACCATGACGAATGGGAGTTTGCGCCCTAAGGTGGTCGGGAAGCTCACCCCGGGAAAACAAAAAACTATGTAGTACTCTCATCCAAGCACAAGCTGGCTCGAAAATGCCGCGCGTTGTGTGATGACGGATGACCTCTGATCTTTTGCGTCATGGGCAGCGCCAAGCGACACCTTCACGCCGATAGATGTGTTTTAAGGATGTCGAGCACCCACTACGCCGCCGATGACGTGGATGCCGCCGCCGCCGCCACTAATATTATTGAGCGATCTCGGTCTTTGCTTCTCCTCTGCCTCCCTTTATTGAGATGGGCCAGAGATTCCGCTCCTGGTCACGGCTCCCCGACAATTTTCCCTTGACTTTCTGAGCTTGATGATTCACCGAATAATAGTGACACGGTGGACCGCACACCGCATGAATCAACTGATTCGAGATAATTGAAGCAGATGTGCCTTGACCCATTCGCAGGATCGGAGTCCGGAGGATGTGACAAGAATGCAGTCGACGAGTGTGCGCGAGGAATCCTGTTCGCTGCTGAGGACGACCGAACCTTCTTTCGGCAGGACGTCGCTGCCGTCGAGGATTTTTGTGACCGTGTACCGCAGGTTCCGGAATGTCTCAAAAATGTGACCGCGGGCTGTCCAGAGACATCGCAGCGATTCCTCAGAGCACTCTCGGTAATCTTTTAGAGGAGCGGTCTCATTCGAGAGCTGACTCATTTGTGAATGGATTAATGGATCTCTCGTTCGTCCGGATCTCCGTCTGGGAAACTCACGATGGATTTTTCAGAAAGGTTACGACGTTGTATTGCAATCAAAACTCTGCGAGAAAACGCCGGAGGGCTACGCGAAACGAGAACTGTTCGCGAACAGCTCCAGTTGCCTCCGGGATAAATTCGACAATCGATGCATGGTCGATTACATCGCTTCCTTGGAGAAACTGGTCAACGCGACCGACGAGCAAAAAATTCGAAAGGCGTGCTGGCAAGTACCCATACCCGGGATTTTGAAAGGTCGGACGGGCTCAGATTCAGTCGAAGGCTTCTGAGGGACGGGGATTATCGATTATATTATTATTATTGATGGCTTGATTCCATTCAGGCCAGCAACTGCTTCGTCAACAGGACGAGAGGAAGATCTTTCACAGTATGCGAAGTCCGCGTCGAGTAACGCTACTTCACGCTTTGCAGTCTTCATCGAGCATACCGGATCTGCCTGGCCAATTCGATCGTTCCTCTATGCGGCGTAGAAGCTGCGTCTATTTACATACAACTCAACTCGATGCTATCCTCTGCTCCACTGCGTGAAGTATGCGGAACTTCTCACTCTGAGGAATCCTGCGATGACTCGCTCTCTATGCGTGGAGAGGGTCACGCCGATCTGAAAGGCTCCATCCTCAGTCGGCTCCTACAGATTGTCGTGGACTCTCACAAGTCGGAGAAGCACGCTAGGGAAGAAAATCTCGAGGAGGCACTCGGTGAGTGGATATCTCCCGTGGACCCTCATAGACTGTTCATTTATGGAAAGAGCCCCTCCGAAGAAATCTCGAAAAAACGAGCTCTTCTCGTGGTTTCAGAGGACACGTCCTGCACGGGGGGATCCATAGACATGTGCTTCCACGGAGTTTTACCGATGACAAGCGCGAATTCCTCATCTGTGTGGCGGACAGGAACGCAAATGGATGCGTTCTGCTCGAGACTGCATAATGTTCCACGATGTCTACGCGGCAGATCTCCGACATGTCATACGACGACCAACGAAGTCCTGCAGCTCGTCAAGGTGAGGAGCGAGTCGGAATCTCTCTCCGAAATGGGTCAGAAATGTTGGAGGTTCAACCGGAGGAAAATTCGAAGATATTCGCCCGCAGTTCGGAGATGAATTGGGGTTCCACTCGAAAAATGCCATTGCCGCTTCGATTTTCTCTTTTCATAGGAAGAAGCGGAGTTCACTCGAAACGCCACCTTCTGCCGCAAGGAAGGTGAAAAGCGACACTTTTTCATCAATGGTGGACGCTGTCTATTCGAGAATGTGAACAATGATTGCACCAGGAATTTGGCATCGGCACTGACAGCTGCCTCAGAAAAGGGAAGCGTGATTCCTCGGGACTTGGTTTGTTGGTGGGTGGAAAATACTGCAAAGAAAGGGAGACTTTTCCAGGAGAGATAATCGAGTGGGAGGCCGGGTTTGACCATGAATTCAGTCGATGCTTCGAATCTGATTTCCGAATACACCCGCTGACGACGCGCCGAGCTTTGCTCAATAACACAGGACTTGATGACCTCATTGTTCCTTATGTGTGCTGAAGCACTGTACAGCTGCAATTATTACTCTCGAAAGGGTTGTATTGCTTTCCACCTTCATTGTTCGCGTCGCCGAGAGTAGGGCTTCCCAGGAGAACTTGAGACAAGAATACGGTTCATTCATACTGAGACGTAATTCTGAGCATCTTCCCGCCCCGGAGTGAGCGTGTGGCCGGAGACAGAGCGTCGGGAGAATATCGACATCTTTTGATTAACTCTCCGCAAGGTTCTGATAGAACGGATGCACATCATAGCTGATCTAGGAGGAAATTCCATACAAATTCTCTTTCCAGCCTCGCGACCCGGTACTCTGCTTGTCTCGCGGAGGCTATAAAACCGAAGTGCGGTTTCGCAGAAGCCGAATTCTTCTCCTCGCTCATGCAGAGACTGACGATTCCCGGACAGATCGGTTGCGAATGCAAACTGGACATCGCTGTGAAAAATCCGCTCCTTGTGGGCACCCCGATGAGGACCCTGGTCGATATGTTAGAGGAGTCTTGATCGCGGAGCTGAGTCGGAACTTTGTGGCGAATACCCGACAAGCAAGGTCGTACACGAACGGCACCGTCCCGGACTCGTGAACAAATCAAGAATCCTGCGATTAAAGCGAGCACCCCCTTCCACCAATTGACATGCACACTGGACCTTGTAGTTTCGCAGGGAGTCTTATCTCTGATCTGACCTGAATCATCGGAAGTAGCCGCCGCTTTCGTCCTCGCTCACAAGAGCTTTAGGAAGCCTCCTCGCTCCCCCTCATACGAGAATTTCGAATGAGCTCCACCGTTCGTCGGGGTTGCTTATACATTACCCTGCTACAGCGCAGGATCTTGAGGTGCCTGGTTCCACGATCTGAGTGTGAAATATGTGAATTTGTGTAAAATAAAAGTGCAGAATCCGGCAGGCGGAGCTAGAAACCTCGTGGCCTGATTTGGGGGCTGGACTAATCGACTGAATGTTGTCCGCAAACATCCGCATGCGGCCGGCCTCACGGAAAAAGTTCGCGAAAACTCCTCGAAGCCGGATTTTACCTCATCTCTTACGAGGCAGGGATGCTCCGACGTAATATATATCATTCCTTCACGGGATAAGAAAATTGCGCCGTAGCATATCTATTTTCTGTGTGCCGGGCGGATATCGGGGGTGATTGTACTCGGTTCGATCGAGTCGAGTAATTGCGCTATTCGCTGGTATATAGAATCAATCATCCTGTTTGAGTCTAGGCCCTCGAGGAATCCGCACAATTCTCGAAGCTAAATGATTGGAAATTCAATGGGATCCACGACTTATGGATCCCACGTTTGCCGTAGGCAGATTACGTTCGCCTCATTTCTATCTATACACCAGTGTACACCCATCTACACATACAGGTGAATTAAAGTATAGCCAGATGCCGCCGCGATCTTCCTTGGCTTCTGAACTTCTGAACATTGTGATTTACGGCAACTTATTCACCCGGTTTGACTTGATGAGGAATACTTCCCCGCTTGCGGCCCTGAGAATCGTGCACCGACAAGCTCGAGTGCCGAGGCGGAGACGCACTTTCGAATTATCAAGAATTGGATGACTCATTTGACTGTCGGTCAGTGCTCGACCGCATCACGTGACAGATTGAATAGAAACACCAATGGTGGATGCGTCGTGTGATAGAACCTGATATCCCAGTCGGATCATGAAAGAATGAGATAAGGCTATCTCTTCTTCGAGTTGGATGGAGCGTCTTGTAAGGGTTGATGGAAAATTGGACATCCAGCTGTCCGAGCGTTGGCACGCTTCCCCCGCTTGTCGAGCTCCGAACCCATACGATTCCCAGAACCGTTTTCGCTTCTATGAGGATCGAGGCACGATAGCTGAGTCTCGGAGGGAACGCGTCGTGATATTCGATTCCGAGCTGGCAGCGCCGTCTCCCGAGTATGAGCGCCAGAAGTTCGCCGAGGAATAAGAGATTACCTAGTAAGTTCCGTCGTTAGCTTTGACGTTAGAGCTCGAGCGCAGAGCGAGGGTCTCGATTGCCCAAAGAGCAGCGGCATGGGTTCCAATTTAAGATGGCGCTTAGAGCAACAGCACAAACTGCAAACGGAATTTATAACACTCGGCAGTTGAATTTCGAATTAATAGTCGACACGCGAGGCGAGAACTCGGAATCGTCGTCTTCGGGAAATTTAGAGCGGCGGGGTCGCCCTTTTCCCCCTCTCGGTATTGCCGTTGTGCGGCGCGTCACATACTGCGTGTAGAAGATTCTCCCGACTGGAAACCTTGAGCTAAAAAAAGAAGATCCTCGTTGAATTTTCGATGATCGTATCTGACGATGTTTTGTTGTCCCTCGGGGAGTTCTCTCGACCCACTGCAACAATTTCTCACTCGCTCGCCGTTCTTTCAGGTCCTCTCTTGCGGACATGACCCGTACACGGAAGGCAAGTTCATGTTTCCATTGTGCGTCTTTCATACTGTCTATGAAGAATGTCCGATCGGCGTTCCTCGGTAGCCTTCCGTGCATTCGTACTGATGTCAGTCTTCCATTGAAGTCCATTGAACAAGCATGAATCGCAAGAGTTGGTGAAGTAACTCGAGCAGGATCGTCGATCTCCAACCGGAGCGGTCAGCTGTGTCAGTGGGTTAGTGAGCTGCGTACTCAAACGGAGAAGTTTTTCGACTTATCCTGATCAATCGCAAAATCCATGCATCGAGGAACGAGGTTACTATGTGAATAAACTTGTCGGAGTGAAATCCTGCTACAGTCCTACGATTGCTCGACAGTTCGTGGACCCTCCCCGCCTTGTCGAGGCGATTGATTCCCTGCGACGGAGGTGGGTGCCGGGCGCAGCGGGCGTTTAAAGGGGGAGCCTCCGCAACGGAGGAGACCCCAGTCCCGAGGGTTGCCCATCACTGATACAGTTCCCTTAAGCTAATGTCCAGAGTCAAGCCTTTTTCCGGATCTTTCACGAGACCCCTTCCTTCTAGCTGAAAAAGTACTGCGCATTTTCTTGACCTTGAGTATGAGGCGACTAAAAATAGGCGCGACTCACCCTGTCATCTGGCATATCTCGTTTTGATTCCTGAGATCTCGTGCGCGAACCCATGAACAACATAGCTCACCTTACAGAGGACTGTCTCCGGTTTGTACTCTAATGAAACCGACGGGAAACATTTCCTCGTGCCAAAGTTCACCGCGAGCAAAACAGAGCGAGCATCCCTCCCGATCGATTTGACCTGCGGCACCTAAGGGATCGATACACCGCATTGCACAAGGCGACGATTTTTCCGCAGCGTCATTAGCAGGAGCGTAGGATGATGGGAGAATATGACGGATTTCTACCTGCGTCCAGTTGATCGCGTTCCACTCGTGACTCGCAGAGCTGAATGAGGTTCCCGCTTTGACACACCGAATGAGCCAAGCGGTTGACGTACATCGCTAAAGACGAGAAACGCTTGCAGTTTCCGAGTGCTGCCCCGAAGCTCCTTCAGGGCACTTCAACTCTTCCACCGGGTGCTGATAAGATTTCAGAGATTTTCAAAGACTAAGGCGAGATTCGAGAGCGGCGATCCCTCTTGAGTTGGCACACCAATCTCGAGAGCCACGGTTGCGTAAGCCTCAAGGTTTTTGAACTGAATTCCAGATATCGAATACAGCCTTTTCACTTGAGCGCCGGACCATCGAGAATATGTAAGGAGGCATGACAAGATGTAAAAAAAAATTATCAGCTCCCTGAAGGTGGTGGACAGCTGCGAGCGGGAGATGACCACAAAAAAGCGACTCGGCTCTCGGTGTGAGTGACGTCAGCCCGGAGCCGGGACAGGCTCTTTCGAACTACAAACGCCGAGCTGCTGCTGCTGATTGTAATGATGCCCAACTGCGCCGATAGCGGTCGTTGGTTTCATGTTAACGGCTGACGAAACGCTATCTGATCTTAGCTGTGAGTTCCCGCCCGCTCGCTGGCGATCGGCCACTCTTCCGAACCGTGTCCGGCACGTTATGCGCCGTAATGTTGTATGAGTCCAGCAGGGTCGTCCTTACGGCATCAGAAGACGTTATCGCTGAGCGCACTGCCGATGGATCTGGTGACGGCAGCGTCTTCTGAGCGACTGACTGAGTAAGCTAATTCCAGCATGTCGACCCGCGTAAATGAATGCGTTTGCCGCTTAGTCGACCGAGCGAGCCGGCTAATGCCGACCCCTGCGTCAGAATGTCAAAGACATTCTTTCTCCCTTCTTTCATGTGTCCTGGCGGCTTTGACATCCCCTCCTGGAGCTGAAGATGTTCAAGTCACGGAGCGGGCGTGCCCATCTTGCAGCGAGACCCCGTCGCGCATGCGTGGCGCCGCCTCGATGGTGGAGTGGACCCGCAATAAAAGCAGACATGGCGGGCCGGCAAGATCCATCTTCCCATCTAATTGTCTCAAGAACAGATCATCCGTCCGATCCCCAGTTGCTCGACGAGTTCTATCGATCTGTCGATCCTTCCATCCTCCTTCGAAGGGACGATTTGTTCTTGTTAATCCGTTCCCTCGAAAACTTCGACAGTGCTTCAACCATGAATCCCTTCGTCAAAACCCTGGCTTTCTTCTTGGCCCTGTTCGTCTTCGTCGCGCAAGTAAACGCAGAAGGTATCAAACGCATGGATTGTGATGCCTTCTGTAAGAAAACCGGGTTCCGGTTCAACGCAGGAGTTTGCAAATGCGGCTACATGCTCTTCGCCAACAAACGATCTGTGTAAGTATCCAAATTTCGCGATCCCGACTCAATCGTCGACTTTCGCCAATGTCTCGCAACGAAGGATCGGATCTTGCTCCTGAAAATCGGTCACGAAGCCGTGGGCATTCGTCTGATTTTGCCCATCTCCCTTGCAGTGCCGATCGAGATCCACGAGCCGAAGCCGCACCGGACTCACAGTAAGTCGAACTTCCCGCCATGTAAAGCTCGTGGAGCTCCCGCCGAATAAATCGAAAACTCATTCTCATCCGGACTCTCTTGATTCGAGCTTGGTCAAGAATGATCGTCCCCGAACTCTTTTCGAGTGAAAAATAGAAAAACCTTGGTCGACCGCGACTCCGAGCTTCTATGCTGGGGGGTTCGCAGCCGCTCGCCGTCCGCCTTATATGAGCCGTGTTCGACGGCGAACAGTCATTCACCTTTTCACATTAGGGCCTCTTGCAGTGCATGACTCCTGTCATTCTCTCTACATGTCTCCTTGAGCGATAGCGGTGGGTTTCTGAAACGAGTCAGGAGATTCCAACGCCCTGGATTTCCGGATCTCGGTTCGAAAGCCACAGGGTGCGGAATCCGTCCCATCGGGATACCGTCCTGTCGATTAGAGGTCGAATGACATCGTTTCCGCTCCTACGGGGTCTAAGCATCCGCTTTCCTCTTCCGCAGAGATGACTACGTACGCGGACTCGGCGATATGTCCTGGGCGGCACCCGTCTATCCAGCGCTGCCGTTCCCGCGGATGTACGGTTAGAATCGGAACGGACAGTTGTAACTCCACATCTACCGTTACTGGGAGCGAAGCGGAAACAGAAGTCGAAGCAGAAAGAAGCGCCGTCGATGCCAACGCCGCCGTCGCTGCCAGAGCGACCAGTCTTTTGAGTTTGAGCGGGACTGAGTTCGCTTTTTGTTGCCTTGTTGGTTGATTACCTCTAGAACCTTCGCCCAACTTACCCGAGAGGTAGCCCTCTCGACCAAGAAACCTAGTCTAGGATCAACGTCGTCCAAGGCGCCCAGGTCAGCAGCACCCCCCTTCAATACATCCTGCTACAATGAAGTACGCAGTCAGTCTGCACATTGATGTTCGGGGACTGTCCCGGGCTCTCCGTGCAGTCGTGATCTCTGCGATCAGAAAATCAGCGAAAACTGAACGGAGCCGACAAAGCAGAAGGAGCTGGAAAAGGTAGAAGAACATCTTCTTTCGAGATCGTCCGGCGAGAACAAATAAAGAGAGAATATGTTTGCAAGCCATTCGTATCGAGTTTTCGCTCCCCTTGCAATGTGAGCGAATCTGAGTCGAGGGCGTCGGAGAGAGCGAAGTCGAAGAGTTCGCATCCGATCGGTTGAGAGGCGCGGGGAATCGCGTCCCCTTCGCGAAGTTCCCTGATCGCGAATTTCCGAAAAACGAGCTTCAAGTGAAACTTGGGATCACATCCGGTCGCGGCTCCTGGCATCGTGAGCGATTCTCGAGGCTGTCGATCCGAGAGAGTATCCACGGCATATCGTATTAGATCGTGTTCGCAGCCCGCTGAAGAAGAGCTGCGGAAAAGCCGAGCTGAGGAAGCGAGAATAGCGAGCATGGCCGGTGGAAGTTCTGCGTGTAGATTGAATGGAGGCGGTGTCGCCGATCTCGCTCTTCTTGGATACGCTTAGGCAGACTTCCAAAATGAATGGAATTGAATAGATAAAGCGATGGATGATTCGGAGGCTGACCTTCACTTTAGGAGCAGATTAGGATAACGACTTCCTGATAGGCGTTGCGTGATGCGCCTTTGTTTCGCGCCGTTGGCACATGCTTTGCATGGACCTGCTCGAGCGGACCTCCTCTCAAGGAGCATTGCCCCTCCGTGAAAATAAACGGTCCGCGGTCGTTCGGAGAAGGGAAGTTCCAAATGGTGGAAGGGTCGCAAACATGTCGTGTATTCAACCGACGCAACGTTCAATTGGAATTTTCGCTCTTCTGGGTTGCGCGTCGATGCATCTCATCGAATGGAGCTTTCATTTTCTGCTCCTATTATAGATCTCCCAAAGTTTCCTCTCCTCCCGCAATTGCAATTCCTTTCGGAGACCCATTCGCCGAAGGAAGACGCGTGCATTACTCGCGGTTTCCAACGGGAGACGGCCGGCTGTCCTCACCGTCGGGCGGGAAGCTCGGGACCCGCCGTCGTCGTACAGCCTCCTGGGAAGGCGGAAGTAGCAGCATCATGATCCGTCTCAGGAAGTCGCCCGCAGGCAGATCCATTGGGCGCCAGTTACATTCCACGCTAATCATCAAGTTTGTGGTCGAAACGGTGAACCAGCATGACTCCAAATCGGAGTTTCCGAGACAACTCCGATGATCCGTCGGATTTCATTGTGACTGCGAGCCGCAGTAAGGGCCGGTGATATTACCATCTCGTAGGGGCCTGATTATCCTGGCCGCATCCTGTCGAAATCCAGACAATGCACCGGACGAGAATCTCCTCAAAAGGTCCTCGAGTGAAACCCAGAAGGCCTCGCGCCTCAATTCGAAGAAACACTGAAGCAACTTTCGGATCACTAACCGTGAACATTTCCTATTTCGAAATTACCGACGTGTAAACGCTCACCTGAGGGAATTGGAAAGAATCGGCGTAGGTATCAGTCTAGGGACTGTCCCGACCACAGAGGGAAATATAGAATTTTTGATGAATGGCTCGATCGGACCCATCGAAATGGATTATCACCGCCAAGGGCCTCCAATGAGTAAGGTCATCTGCGGTGGTATGCCGTGGTGGAAGTTGAAAGAAGACGAAAAACTCCGTCAAACTTCCACCACGGTATACCATCGCAGATGACCTTACTCACTGGAGGCCCTTGGCGGTCATAATCCATTTCGATGGGTCCGATCGAGCCGCTCATCAAAGTTTCTATTTTTCCCTCCGATGATGCTGCTACTTCCGCCTTCCCGGGAGGCTGTACGACGACGGCGGGTCCCGAGCGTCCCGCCCGACGGTGAGGACAGCCTGCCGTCTCCCGTTGGAAATCGCGAGTAATGCACGCGTCTTCCTTCGGCGAATGGGTCTCCTTATGATTTCCGAAAGGAATTGCAATTGCGGGAGGAGAGGAAACTTGGGGAGATCTATAATAGGAGCAGAATATGAAAGCTCCGTTCGATGAAATGCATCGACGCACAACCCAGAAGAGCGAAAATTCCGATCCCCTCGGAAAAACAAGGCTCTACACCTGGAAGCAGAGAGCGGATAGTATTGCTTTTGAAGAGCTTGGGATCATACGTTGAAGGGGAGAGATGAGTGGCGATGGCATTCCATGGACGGGATGTGCGGGGAATTTGTACGATTCGTGGGAAGCTGAACAAAACAGGGGTGATTTCTGGCACCCTTCCTGCTTACACGAACAGTGACCGAAATAGGAGGAGCGAGGGTTTTTTTTTGCGCTCTGAGAAAATAAAATTCCGCTGCTTTCTCAGATGAATCAAGGCCCAAGACGTAGAGATAATGTCGATATTCTCGGACAGCGATCCGGATCGGAAAGATCCTGTGCTCATATTCGGGAGACAGCCTTTTCAAGGAATGTCCCGAGGTGAATCGGATCCATTTCCGACGATCCCTTCGGGAACGCGGAAAATCAGATGCTCTCCTGATTTGCCGGCGATCCTAGCATGAGTTTCCGCCGGCTTTTCAGCATATCAGCTTCATGTGAGAATGTCTGGTAGTTCAAGCTTTTGCGAATTCCGACCCGTGTCAAGCATGTCTATTCAATCACGCGATGTTTTGACGGAGCGATCCTCTTTGATGAACAGCGGATATGCAGGTATGCGACGCAGGATGCTCCACTCTGAATATATCAGCGGGATGAATACGCGCTAGTGCTCAGATGATTCACGACGAAGTATGGAGGTTCCGAGTTCGTCAAGTCATCCGAGTTCTGTCATTGGGTATTGATGGGAAATCTCAGAGAGATGCGAGCAGAGCAATGCCTTGATGTCTGACGAAATCTGAAAAGCTCGAGCTCCGGTGGAAATAGGCTCATGTAGCTCGAGGCGCGTCAGAGTTAATTTAATCATTATGGACAGCCGTTCGGCTCTTGGCGATGAGAAGACACTCGCGGTTTTTAATGAAATCTCCGCTGTCAGGAGGCCAAGTCATCTGGACTCCGATGTTCGCTCGGATGATCCGAAGCCTGAAGTATAAAGTTTCATTTGCTGGACTCTACTCTGATCTGGATACGTGTCTTGTTTCAGCGATTCCTCTATCTATAGCTCCGTCTTCAGAAGCTGGTCAGGATCCCTAGATCGGAGTTTTTCGCTCGTTTCAGGCAGGAGTTTTTATGGTAATAAGGCACAGGGAGAAGCTCGGGTTCAAGTTTAGACAGTCAATCGGCGGAATGGAGCCCCCCACAGCAGATTCTGCTCTCTGAGTTCGTGGTATTTTGGCCACAATGGGGAACAGCATAGTGCAGCTGTAGTCTCGGGGATCGCATTCCAACGGCTACTTGGCGCTCTTCGGCCAGGTACGTCAATGAGGGATAACTCGGATCCTTCAAGAGGGCGGGCTTCGTGTCGGAAGGATTCGCTCAATAGGGTCGTCCCCATCTACCCGATCAGATGCTCAGAAGCCTTTCGGCGGCCTTCCCTAACAGACTGGCGCTCCTTTGCATAAATCATCACTCACAAAAGGGTACCTAAACGGAACAGAGGTACCTTGAGAAACCTGGAAAGAAAGTGTACGATTGATCTTCAAAGTGACAATAGACCCCGCTAGTTCGGGGTAATCTCTATGAGCGCATCCGTGTGAGCAGTATAACGCCCCCGAAGACCCCGATGCGCTCATGTATATGACAGGAGAATTTGGCATCACGTGACGCGTCGACGCAAATGGTGGCGCCCTGGAGCCCGTGACGCTAGCGGTACATAGCACGCGTAGCGTCAGTTCCCCTACTGGCGCCTGTCTAAGAACAAGAAGCTGACCTACATCAAGAGACGCCAGTACGATCCCAGTCACCGTGGCGGCATCTAATTGTTCTAATTTTGAGTCAGCTATACAATCGTTCTGCACTATAGGTGTTCGATAAGGAGCGAGCTTCAGATCGCAAGAGGCGATGCAACCTCGTCGGAATTCATCGCGAGTCGTCATCGGTTGGCAAAAACGCCGAACCTTTGCGTAATTTTCTAAAAATAGCGTATCCTACCTAGAGTTGAGGGGAGAAGCAAGATAGCACTTCCTTCAAAAAGAGTCTGGACAGATGTCGCCACAGAATCTCGACAGAAACGAGACCATTCTATGGCTGAGGTCAATTGTGTTTACATCCGTCGTCAGCGGGTCAGGTCCTGTGAACCAGAGAATGAACGTCGTCTAATCGCCCGCTTGTTTGAGAGTACACCTGGGTCGCGATCCGTCAGGGAAAATGCTCCGTAATGACATGAGGAATGCTGTCCCTCCGACTCGGCCTGGAAGAAGCTCCGGGATATCTGATCCAGTTCGAATACACTCGAAAGGTTCGATCGCCTATGATAATCGCCAACGAAGTGTCCCCATCTCGAGGACGGGGACATCCGAGGACTCCTTCCGCCCCCTCGAACGCGACTCGACGACCTCTGGATGATAGGCTCCTTCGTGGAACAGTATGGTCGATGAAAGTCGTGGAGAACTCGGTAGATACAGACGTTACAGGAAAGTCCTTCTGTCATTGATCCTCTCTTTGTGGCCTCTACGCGACATAGTGATGGGAGCGGGGAGCGATAACTCCCTCCCCTTTCCCTGGAAGCTATCCCCGACCACCACGCGGGGTCTTAGGTACTCCCTCCCGCGAGTTGAGGGAAAGCGCGCTCTTGGATCTGTACTCTTTCGGAATGCTCCCCGGCGGCGATCGTTAGCAGCGGCGATTCCCGGTGCTTCCGCGGTGCTTCCCGACATTCTATCCTGAGCCTAATTCGGAGAGCCCTGAATCCGAATCAACAGGAGGTCCGTAGAATTTCTCGGACATTCGGAGAAATCATCTCCTCATCGAGATTTTCCGCATGATGGGTGCATCGGAGAAGTCTACTATCGACCACGCTCAAGCACTCACGGAGTTCAAGGTGCGATGCGTTGAAAATTTTCTATCTCTAACCGTTCTTGATCTCATCTGTCCTGAACTACATTCGTGGATCCCTATCGAGCATAAGCGAATACGACGTGTTCTTAGCGCCACGCAACACTCAAACCCATGGCGTGTCTGGTGCGCGCTTGTCCCTCGTCACTGAAGTTTGGATGCCGTAAATGATATCCTAAAAGACGGGCAGTCCCGAACGTCGACTCTGATGCTCCTATGATGGCGTCCTCTCATGGGGCTCATGGGGATGCGACCACGAAGGGCTGTGAAGTCAACAGGGGTTCTCGTCTATTGGAATATCTACGAGGGATGAACATGACTTAATTAAAGCAGAATGGAATCCAGGAAAGTCATGTCGAAGACTCTGGCCTAGACTTCACATCTTAGCTAGTCACGATGCCTAACATTTGTGTCCGAGGGAGGGTAATCGGCCGCTTCGAGGTATTCCCTTCGAGATATGATGTGGTTCCCGACCAGGCCCAAAGCCAAGCTGAAAATCTGAGGCAATGGCCACACGGTTTTTGGAAATTAGCCTCAGTTTCCGGAATTCGGTTTGGTCGAGAACCATATGTGGAGCGATAACAGCTCTCTGCGAGATCTACGGTATTTATCTCCGTCATTCTCGCTCGCTCCCACGCTCTCGCTATCTGGCGAGCGTGGGCGTGAGTTGTAGTCAGATAGAATTGCTACTAGTTTGTCGACTACAGAGTCCGCACACTCCTCAGAAACAGCAGAAGACTGAGCTTTTCTTTGTTTTCATAAGTTGTGATCTGATACCCCTAATATAAGACATGAGGTTCGAGAACTGAGTGTAGCATCAAGACGACGGAAAATGCCGTTTTCACTCGAAAATTGAGGCTAGCCTCAGTTTTCCGGATGAGGCTCAGCCTCATACAGGAATATGTCTGGCTAGGGGCCTGTTCACGACTCCACGTGTCATTCCGAAAGAGTTTTCACTTCGTGCGACGGAGTATTTCTGGTTTTAAGCCTGATACTGTCGAGTGAATTTCGTTGAGAGCCAATTAACGGGGCCAGTGACGGAGAAAGAAAAACGACGGAGAAGTTCAGAATGAAACAGAATTCCCTTTATTGCCATTCTGGTTCCGCTCCATATCATCAGGTCCGTTGACATCCTTACTGAGGTTCTTTCTTGCTGAGGGAGCAGCGGCTGACTCCGAGTAGCTCATCGGTTCTCCTCCACCCATGATTGTACGATCTCCAGGAATTTCTCTTCGAAGCTTCTTTCGTTGAACCGGCTCATTGACCGCTTCCCAGCTTCCGAGATCGTCGTACGATCTCGCTCACTCATCCTGCAATGAAGGAAATGAGCGCCGGGGAAGTCCTAGCAATCCGAGGTCCAAAGGAAGTTCATGGGACTTACATGATGATTTTTGCGAAAATTTGTGCGTATTCCTCCGCTGTGCTCGCTCTGAAACCGCAACCTTCGCGAATGATATCCATTCGAGGTCCTCCGGAGTTGTGCGCGACAGTTATCAATCCGGCTGCTATACACTCGACAACGGCGATACCGAAATGCTCATTCCACATTGTGTGTATCGCGGCAGACGCTTTCTGCAACTCCTTCTTGAGAGCACTGTACGGAATGTCCACTTTGAATTCCACGTTCTTGGTTATCTCGAGGCAGTTGGCCTGTATTTTGAGATCTTCGATTCTGGAATCAGAAGAATCCATGGCGTAATGGCGTGATTCTTGACGAATTTGACGGAAATCCTGAGCGCGGCTGCTTTGGGGTCTAAGGTCTAAGGCAATCACCTTTGCTCATCCTCGTGGTCTCTACAGGAGCCACACAAGACGAGTTTAACTTTGCCGAACTGGGCTTCCGATAAATGCTTTTGCAGTATCTTCAGGGATTTGAGCTGCAGCATGTGGTCCTTCTCTGGCCTGAACTGCGCCAAAGATACGATTCTGAACTCTCGCTCGGGATTCGCTTCCGACTCCAGTTGCTGGAAGTCTTCTACCGAGCACGGAGGGAACACAAGATGACATTCCACACCCCAGATTTCTCGTATATGACCTTCGAGAGAAATATCGGGATTAAGGCGGAACCTTTCGCTTGAACTCGGCGTCCCGTCGACCGAATCTGTGCTGGGGACTTTTGATTGGGGATCTCCCTGAATCCTGCCTACCGTAAGTCCAGCTCGAGTTGACCATGGTCACGTCACCGCATACGTTTCCGATGAATCCGTACAATACCGCGAAGCACTTGTAGTAGAGGATCTTCGCTTGCGTGAGAAATGAACTCGATGCCACCATCGAGCTGTTGTTCACCCCGGTTCTGCGGGAATGCACCGAGCACAGCATGTCTGTAGATATAGTCGGGTAGTGGACATAGGAGACCGTGGTGCAGCCGCCTGTGGAAGAAAGGAATTTCGCAGTCCCGAAGATTTGAGGATCCCTGGATCTAAAATCGGTCCGGTCTATTAGCCTGCTTGAACTCACCCAAAATCTTGAAGATTGGTAAGGTGAAGGCGTAACCCATGGTATCTACAAAAACGTGTGGAGTGTGCTTGATAATGGCTTCCAGCCCCACGAGCATCGAGAACGCACTTTGTAGCGCCAGAGTGAATACTTTGTAATACCTGAGGAGACTCGTTTGCTTAGTGGCCTGAGCGATTGGAAAAGTTAACGAGGTATCGAAAATATCTGTATACGCTGTGGTATGAGACACGATCTTACTTGGCCTCGAGGCATGGTCTGCTCCTGAGGTACACGAATGAGACCGGCTGAGATAATTTGATGTGGAAGCGTCTTTCTGCCGTCGCGAGGATCTCGTCCGAGCTCGCTTCGAGATCGCCTGTGTATATCACGCATTTGATGTTGGGATACCTGCGCGACGATGATCTTGTTAAGAAGGAATTCCGTCGCACTGGTGGCATGAAGTAATGAAGTCTCTAAAGCTTTGGATGCACGAGGAACACACGTAGCACCGCAGCACTCACCGCCGTTGCAGGCACCGAACCGCAGTCCAGAGAACCCGTTCACCTCCACCACCTGCGTTGCAGTAGGGGTGAAAAAACCCGTACGTGCGCGGACCTCTGCTTTTCCTGCTCCTGAGACACATGGCCAGGAGTGCTATGGAATTGACGACCGCCAGGATGACGGTCAGAATTGTGGCGATCATCTGGATGCTCGTGACGATATCGCTCAAAAACTTCGGTAGGTTCCTGAGTCGCCTCCGTCCTCTTCACGCGAATCGCTTATCTTTGCGAACATAGAATTGGAACTTTTCCGAACTCTCCTCCTTCTGGTTGTGAGCCGGCAGTTTGCAGTTCGAGATTTGACACGTCGGCGTCCGCAGAGCTACCACGGTCTGTACACTCCACAGAATCTGTCTCGATACGGTCTCGTCAAAGACAAGTTGAACATTATCCCCAGCGAAGAGGCATTGGGGTTGACGGCATGGATGGCTGACTCGGTCGGGGACGGTCAGCTGATCGCACGCAAAAAACGACTGACGACACCGCACCGACTGTGGGAATTCAGGCAGCGAGTGCGGACTTCGGGGGAGAGGGTTATAACCCAGACACTGTGGATGAAAGCGACTGCGTGTCTAGGACGGCTCACTCTGAAGTGAAGAAGGGTTCTCTGTTTACTACCACATCTCGTCAACCTGGCACCGAAGGTCTGGAGGAAGACCGCGGAACTTCTGGCTTTCGAATAAGAAGTTCATTGGTTTCATCTTTCCTGTCCAAGCTCCATCGTAGCGAGGCGAAATGACGCGGCACGCGAAGAATTGCACTGCCGGTAGCGTGTACACATACCATGAAAAGAAGAAGGACATGAAAATGGTGAGTTGAGATCTAGCTTCGATCAGAGTGAGCCAAATTCCATTCGGTCGAATAGATTGTATCAAACTCTCTTCTCTCTGCGAGGGGGGTTATGGAACTCAAGCGGAGCGACTCGGGAAAGACGCTCAGCGAGAATTCGACTGTTGTTGCCTCAGTCTCCAGCCTTGCCGGTGAGAGACTTTTCTGTGGCTTTTTTGAGATACTTACACACGGTAGGAGTTGGACGCTTCCTCGAATCCATAGGAGTCACCTGGCTGATTCTAATCAATTTTCGATAGTGACCCTGTCATCACGCCGGAGGGTTACATCTACGATCGGGAAGCTGTTCTCGAATTCATCGTGAAACAAAAGATAGCTATCGCAAAAAAGCAGAAGGAATACGAAAAGCAGAAAAATCAGAAGGCAGAGCCTGAGCCACCCAGCGCAAAGCAACCACCGAAACCCAAGAGTTCAGAGCTGAAAAGCGACGCTCTGCCCTCATTCTGGGTTCCGAGCCTCACACCCCAGGTTCGTGAATAATTATTATCGATAGCGATTCCGGTCACCTGTTCCTCTACTCTGGGAGAGTTCAGCTACTACGCCGCGCTCTCACCGAGAGCGAGCATCTTTGAGAATTCTTCTTTCGTTCGCGCTTCAAGGCTTCGAGCAGCGGCTCGGGTGTTAGCTCAAAGCCTCCGGACACAGAAGTCCGTTGTCCCATGAGCGGACAACCCTTGAGATCGAAGAAACTGTATCCTGTGAAATGGACCTTGGTCCCAGATGACGGATCCGGCAAGTCATTGATAGCGAAGAAGGCTCGCTACATGTGCGCTGTATCGCATGACATTTTGGGCAACTCCGTTCCCTGTGTTTTCCTCAAAACATCAGGACACGTCGTCACCGAGGAGTGTTTCGAAAAAGTGAGTTCTTCCCCGCGCTCACTCAGGATGATCTGATTCGCCGATTCGTCAGCGGGAGCGGCTCTAAAATGATTGCGCCGTTTCAGGTCATCAAAAAAGACTGGCTAGACCCCACGAATGGAGCGAAGTTAAAAGAGAAAGACGTCATCCGATTGCAGAGAGGCGGAACTGGTTTCGCTTCGACAAACGAGAAATTGACAGCCGCCATTCAAAAACCCGTGATGCAGGCATAGGGTGCGCTGAAGTCTGCAAATCCTCAGTTTGTTTTTCGTCCTCCGCGACTCGGTATGTACATACAAACTGTCGTTGAATACCACCCATGTACAATAATAGGTTGTCCCAGCCTGAGGTGGGGCTTGAGCGACTCGCTCTCTACGCATTGGAACTCCGATGAGAACGAGAGAGTACTTGTTGTAGAATCAGTTTTTATTGATTCAGTCTGAGAGGCTCAAGAATAGAGACGAGATTGGGAATCAATAAAGGTTAATCTACTGATAGACCGTACAATTTTTCCTTCGTTCGTCTATCGCGCTTTAGCAGGATATCGTATATACACGAGTAGTTGGTTGAATTTGAAGTATTTGTGTCATGTGGCCGTTTCTGTCAAGCTTCAGACGCTTGTTCTTTAGCTTCGACGTTACGACGTCCTGATTAATTTACTTGTAGCCTGAAGATTCTCCCGAGAGTTGTCATTTTCCTACATATTTCAATGAATTGATCGGGAGATGAACACGCACCCGAGACGGGACCTCCAATTCTATGGTAGTGGCGATTGCCAAGAATACAACGATAGAAATACCCTTGTTTCGAGAGGAAAATTTTGGCAACGCCTCCATACCATCGTGTCAAGCTCGCAGACGTGGCCGACGAAGGGGTCCTGTTAACGATTCCGGCCGAGGAGTCTCGGATCTTATTTATCGCGGAAGAGGGGACGGACAACAAGATTGGTGGATACATCGCTCTCTCGGAGAAATGCATCGAAATGAACGCACGTACACGCAAACATACAAAACGGATTCGTTCTCTTATCGGTGAAACAGATGAACGTCTTTTTCTTTTTCCATCTCTGGTCGAATACTCCCCGCGCGATCTGTGCATCCGATGGATTGTACGAGAACCACAAGGATTCGTTCGAAATGGAGGTTCATCCGGCCTGTCACAATAAAAGCAAGCCATCCGGCAGCGGATCCATGAGGAAAACATGGATTCGGTGACTTCCATTCTTCTAGTCTCTCACACACACATTCGATTCACCTTCTGAGATTACGCGTTCACAAAAATCATCTGTGACTGTTTCTACCAAAAGGAGTGCGTGGTCATATCGCATTGTGGCAGACGGACTATTCCAACACCGCCTCCAAGTCTCCGGTAGTTCATACTCCCGCAGTACTTCCACTGATTTGCGTCGGGATCGTAGACCTCGATCGTTTTGAGGTACGCGGAGCCGTCAAAGCCACCGACGGCGTAGAGTAATCCGTTGACCACAGCGAGTCCTACGCCGCTTCTTCTACAGGTCATTGCGACAATGGGCTGCCATTGGTTCAGCTGAGGGTTGTAACGCTCAGCCGAGGACAGTTCGGTGGTGTCGTCTCGACCACCGACTGCATATATCATGTTGTTATACACCGCGCAGCCTAAATGTTTCCGTCTGGAAGGGGAAAATATAGAAAGTTTAAGGGAGGAATTCTTGAGCTTCGGTTCCGGATTTCGGCTCTTCCGGGGAATTCCGGAGATGCGACTGAAGCAATATACTCAGAACGGAATAGATATGAGCCGAAGACGAGAAAGTGCACACCTGGTGCCCATGGGTGCAACGCATGTCCATCGGTTGGTCCTCGGGTCGTAACGCTCGACAGTATTGAGAGGTGAAGTTCCATCGGAACCGCCCATCGCGTACAAGTATCCGCCGAGAACGGCCACGGCAACACCCAGCCGTTTTGTGCTCATCGGGGCAACCTTAGTCCAGCGGTTTTTCTGTGCTTCGTACCTCTCCACGTAATTAAGACAAGAAACTCCGTCTTGTCCGCCAACCGCGTAGAGGTATCTGTGGATGGAGTTCCGATGAGATTTGTGGGTCGGGGCTCGATCGGGGAGCTGGGACAAGATGATGAGGCAGGAGACGGACATCTGATTACGGAATCACCCATCGTCGACAACTCACCCGTCGAGAACGGCGACCCCAACCGAAGTTCGGCAGCTACTCGTAGGTGAGACATCGCTGCTCCACTGATTGGTTTGAGGATCGAAGCGCTCGATGGAGTTTAGATAGCTTTGCCCGTCGTGTCCGCCGACCGCATAGAGAAGATCATTGAGGACTGCAACTCCCACGCCGCATCGGCGTTTGCTCATCGGCGAAACCATTCGCCATTCATTCGCTTGTGGATCGTAGCGCTCTACACTAGCAATTGCATCGCCTGAACACCAGCCTCCAACGGCGAAGAGAACTTCACCCTTGCGCACTGGTTTTCTAGGCCTCGTTCGCGGCCCCTGCATGAGTGGGCGCTCCTGGAAATAGGGGAATCAGGGCTTGATTCCTCTTTCGTCTCTCTCCGGTCCTTCTCCTCTTTTTTCCCTCGGGCCCGACGCAGCAGGCCCCGGAGGCCTAAAGCGCGGGGCAGGGTAACGCGATTCGGCCGGCCATCGCCCGGGAAATCCGTCCCAGCATATGCCGTAAGAGAATATGCAGAGCGCTCTGACCACCCCGTCGGCTTTCAAGCTTTGTAACGACCGAAAAATTGCGACTCGGCACTCGACAATATAATTCGCTTCAACCCGCCCATCGACGAATTAATCACTCACCTGAGGAAGCAATAGATAGTTCTTCGCCTCGTCAACAAGATCTCGACATATTTCATCGCTCTTGACGAGCAGATCGCTCCCCACCGTGCCAACAAGATACTTCGGACTCAACAGAGGGAGACGCACGTGGCTGAGGATCTGACCAAGATACTGACGTCGCTCGGTAATGTTGTGCTTCACCCATGACATGACGGCGGTGAACACGTGTTCTTCCGAGCGTACATTGAGTTCTTCCGAGGAAACTATGTCGATAAGTTGATTGACTGGCAAAAGCAGGAACTCTTCCGACTCCATGACTTCCTGCAAAGTCCATTTCGCTCAGAGTTAATTCGATGTATCGGAAAATACGGCGGCGTTCCCCAAAAATCGGACTTTCGGAGTTTAGCTTCATTGTGAAATGCTCTCATACGCTCACCTGGAAATTATGTTGCGTAAATTTGTCGGCGATTCGGAGGAGCTCACGACAGGCGTGAGTATCCGCGAAAGCTCGGATTCCCAGGCAGTTGCTCGGGTCTAATTGTCTCTTGAGGAATTCGCAACAAACTTCCTGGATCTCTTGCATCTGTAGCAAGCAAGCGGCAGGCAAAAGCATTTGAACATTCGACTCTTGAACGACGATGCGAGAGGTATAAGCGAAATCTACGATGAGCTCCATTGCATGTTCATCGATATCGCGGATCGTTATCTGGAACAGCGACACGATCCCTGGTTAGTTTCAGTCAAAGGGACAAAGTTCATCAGACTACCTCCACTACACGGTTCTCGCTAAAAATCCCCAGCCTAGACGACCTTCGGTACCCCATATACCTCTGTTTGTTTACTCTCTGCCAAATCTCCCGTGAACATTGCGTGGAAGTAGGGACTGCACGCCGTGAGAACGATGCGATGAGCTCGGATTTGTTTACTGCCGACCAAGATTTTGACGTCACACAGCTCTTCCAAATGCCGGAGATGGTTTATAGACTCCATAACCTGCTTCGAGTGTTTGTCTGAGCAGTGTTCCAGACGAGCCGTTTCGGTTGGGAGTGAGGTTTGTAGAAGACCATCCATGGACCCCATGACCGAATTATCCATTCGGGCTGTAATTAAAGAGAAGTTTGCGTTGAAATCTCTATCCATTTCAGTAGTCCCGGTCGAAGTCGGAGTGCCAAACCCGTTCAAAGAATGTTCTCATTGGAATCGGGATCCCCCCTCCGCTCTGAACAAAATCATTATCACTGGTTGAGGACTGATCTCGAGCTTTCCGCCGTTTACGCGACGGATCAGCTGTCGACTCCCCGGGTTATGATGTTGAGCAAGGGCACATCCTACCGTGCGAGGACAGAATCGTTTGAGACCAGCATCGAGCGATTGAATTAATATCGGGAGGGTTCTCGCTCGTGTACATCCTGGATCCGGGCCATGGAACATCTGATGTCACCGATTTCGTGAACTGGGAGCTGGGGGATTCCGTCAGCCGACCAGGAATCATTCGATTCCAAATATCCACAGGGAACGCTTTAGCTTGAGAACTCGAGAAGACAAAGATATTCCAGGGAAACGACCACAGCTCGCCCAACCAATGACGGGGAGCAAGATTACTCCACTAAGCAATTTGCTTGACTCCTGGGATATCCCAGAACTCTGCGACAAGCCTGCGACTCTGCAGCCTGAGTCTCAAAACTGCCAGGAAAACTGTCAGAAGTTCCCATCCCAGCCAGTAGCGTACTCTTTCTCCGACTGTATGCGAATTCCGGAGTCAGAGTCGAGGTGCTTCATAGAGACGTCGAGATGTGGGTCATGGAATTTACTTACGGGGAAGGTGCGTCAAGTCCATCTCCATGGCTGAGGCCGTGAAGGACCTCCCGGCCGGGTTTGTGTTCTTCCCTGAGAACTTCAATTCGGAACTCGATTCGACGACATTACGGTAGTCGCACTTTCACAACATAGAAGCCAAGCGCCTAACGCTGGTTGCGCAGACTGTCGCCATTTTATTTGTGGGCTGCTTGTGTCACGGAGAAGCTGACGGCACCGAGCGCGGTCGGTCGCTGTGCTCTATCGGCGAGGATTCGCTATGAGAGAGGCATGGACAAAATTTGGGAAAATCAACGTTCAGAAGCATTGAAGCTCTTCCCGTCGAGAAGTCCCGAAAATCTCGAGGAAGATGGTGTCCGATTGTTTACAATGGGTCAGTACCCCTCAGATCGTCTGCTCGCCACGGGGTCTGGCCGCGCTCGTCCCGAAAAAACCGCGGAGGCGGACGAGCGGAATTTCGCCAAAAATCTGTTTGTCCTTCGATCATCTAATGAGTCGATTTGGCCGCTCATTATCTGGCTGGATATCGGCATTGCGTCGATTCCGGGGGAAACGCGTCGAAGAGTCTAGGCTGGGCTCCCGAATGGATCGTACCTCGCTTGTTTGAAATCGGCTTGCGACAAGAGTCAACGTGTTCGACGGGACATACGACCGACTGCTATTCGAGTCTCCCACTCGGACTGATGTTCCGCTTCCCTGCAGTTTCTAGCCCGACGGGGAAACCCGCTAGGAATTATCCGCAGCCGAGGAGAGACTCAGCTATCTGAGGCAAGCTAATGACAGGTAGACACCATCTACCATTCGAAAAGGCGCGCCAAAGCCTCGGCAGGAACGAGGTTCGCAACAGAAGAACCGGGGGCTGGCAGAAGAGAAGAGTGCCGGACATCCGACGGTACGGCGCACAGCGTTGCCTTAAATCTTCGCTTTGCGCGCGATGTCCTGCGACAGACTGAATGATTTTAGACGGATCATGTTCCGTGACGTAACCGCCCCGAATTACTTTCCCACCGCAAGTCGTGGAGCTCGGTATCGATGTCGACCCACCGTCACATGTTCGGACGTAGTTCTCACATGCGTGCTCCAACTCTTCCAGCAGGCTGCCGACTACGCATCGAGTCTCACATACTCTGCATGAAGCATTTTGCAGCTATAATTACGCGACTCCATGAGTCTGGCCCTCCGTTAGAGTCAGGAGGGTTTGTTCGGTTTTCTCATCGCGCTTTTGGAAGATTCCGAACACGGAGCTCTGGAGCCTGCACTCTCTCCTAAACAGGAAGAGATGTCGGAGGCTTGCGCTGCGCCCTCTCCGGAGCATCGAGGCCCCTTTGAATTATTCTTGAGCAAGTGTTCACCTTAGTGACAGCTTATGAACAAAACTGCACCGAAAGCGGAGAGCTCATGAGTATGAACTCGCGGGTCTAACCTTCAGAAGAGCTCTCGGCTAGGGGAGTCGGCACTGCGAACCTCCGATGTCACACCGAAGCCGGGAGAGCCTCCTAGACGATGGGAAATCAGGGTCTGCTCGTACTGAAAACTTCCACATTAAAATTATCCGATCAGAATGTTGACATGGTATTTCTACCGACTAGTAGGGTTGATTCGAAGGCGCGCACGCGAGGTATGTCGTGGGAGTCTGAGTCTTCTACGGGTCATCTCTGACACCGGCGGTTCCGTTGAATCCGACGTTCTATGCGGCCGGCTCAAGGTAGTATCGAAATAATCGAAATGCGGTTCATCGCTCGTGCATCATGTTCATGGATGACTCCTCGGGGTTCGGAGGGTGTCGCTGGTGAATTTCTCGGGTCGCGTCGATTTATCCTGGAGGCTCACTCCGTTCTCTGTCGGGTGAATACCAAGAACTTTCCGTGAAGACCGAGCAGAGGGGAGGGTATACACACAGACGCACGCATACGGCGGCTTACGCTTCGCTCACGACTTCGAAACAACAACAGCACCGCTTTTTTTCCGAGTGCCTGAACTACGGAGCGTCATGACGCTTTTTGTGTTGTTGGCGACTCTCGGAATCTTGCAACTGGACTCGAGCGTTAAAGCCTCAATCGACGCGGGCTTCGAACATGTGCCGTGTGTTCGGACGGAAAACCAGTTATACTGTCCGACTTCGGAAAATCTCTATCCTAAGTAAGTCGTCCCTCGATGACGTGCGACATTGAATTCATTTCCTTCCCGCAATCAGACGCCGAAGACAAGCGCATGGATCCATATTTGACAGCGACAATCCTCGGTGTGAGCTCCAACCTATCTGTGCGCGCTAATTTCACCCTTCGAATGTGATCGGGGTCGGAGCGCTGTGGAAAAAAAGAGCTCATTTTCAAGATGTATCGTAGAGCGATTCGTAATCCGAGCGCGAATCAGTCTCTCGAGAGCCGAACACTCAGAGGGAAGTTTATGGCCAGGATGTCTCTGGAAGTGACAGACGCGTCGACCAATCGGTTGAGAAAGAAGAATCCTTCGAACGAACAGCGAAAGTGATATTGCGAATTCGATTCATTCCAGTATCAACATCACCGATCAACCAACCGCCGGGCACAAGTTCTCAAAGAATACGACTTGCAAAAGGTGAGAAGAAGTCCAATCCCGATCAATCGAGAGGATCAATGCGGTGTGCCGCGGTATGTATGATGACGGTTCGAAGCTGGCTCAATGTATGGACTTGCTGCCATTGATTCCAGAGAGAAAATCGATGACTTCATAGATGAGAACAAATCAATGATTCGGCGGATGTTCGGAAATATGCTCGACCCCGGCATTTTCCATTATGAGACTTTCGATGGGCAAAAACTACACCATTTAGGAAAAAGATCGGCCGAGGCAGGTCAATCCCCAAAGAAACTCGATGCTTGCGAATCGACGGTTGAGATCGTCACCCCCTATTGGGCTTCGAACAGCCAGGGTAAAATCAGAGCCATCGTCAACACTCAGCACCTTCAGCAGGCAATACAGCAGGTTTGTAGAGATAAAGTCCCACGGCGCCAAACCACAAACGCATGCGGTGTCATTTCAAGAAATCGATGTGAACCTTCCCACCGCAGACCCGGTCCGATAAGACCACGGTACGGGAGCTTTTCCATGTTCATTTTGCCTTCTTTCGCGGATATGAGCTATTCCTGAATTATTGCAGGAGGTCTGTCAGAATAGTCAGACTCGAAAATGCAACAACGACTGCGGGTGTGAGCAGAAATACAAATGGCACCGACTGCTCGCCTACGATCCCGACGATGACTGCAAGGGCATATTCATGGACTGGTTCTTGTTCCCGTCGTGTTGTGTGTGCCGCTGTCTCAACCCGAATGCGAAACCCCCACGGAAAACGAGTTACTGACGCACGAGACGAACGTTGCTGCGGTGTTCGAGGCGGAAGTGCGAGAGCTCACTCCGAGCACCCGGATCACTGTAAATAGATTAGAGGCACCGTGAACTCAGCGTATGCATATGGTTCCTATGTAAATAAATTCAAGTTTCTACGAATAGGAGGGACGCGTCCGCCCTAGGTTAGGGAGGTGCGATTTGATTGCTCAAGAGTCCAGGATTAATGAATTTTGTTGACTTCAACGCTCCACGTTTTCGGTCCAGACCGAGAGCGGACCCATTGTCAAGCGCGTGAATAGACTCCTCCAGCCGCTCCGACTATGACTGTCGAACTATCGGTTTGCCGCTTTTCGGAAACGTCCCTTGAATAATTCATGAGATCCGTTCTGACCGCCAGCGTCACCTACGAGAAATCCCGGAGGCGCGAGACAGTTTCAGCCGCGTCCGTCTCGAGCGGAGACCGTTTTCGGAAAATCATTCAAAATATTTAACTGTTTCCTGTGCTACGGCAGAGGCACCGTTGGAGTGGAGAGCTCGCCGAGTTTTCGTTGCGGTTTCCACAAGTAAAACAAAGATATCGACATCTTCACAGTCTGCATCGAGTCACGGCTCGAGTGGGTTCGTTCGTCGGTGCCTGTGCCTCGAGTCGGATATTTCGCCCGGTGCGCCATCATGTCATACAATCGACCCCCATTCTATACTTCCACTCCGACGATGGAGACAGTGATAAAAAAAACGTCGATCCAGAGTGAGTACGTGGTTAAACAGAGCTCAATGGACGCTTTGAATCAGTCGCACACATCCTCGGCTCACGACGGAGTCACCAGTGATTCGTTCTTCCCGCGTGGCTTCCGCCATGAGCCCAAGGGCCAGGACTCTCCTGACAAGGTGGAGAGAACGGACCCGATGCAGAGCAAATCAATCGCGGATTTCGAACGCCAAATACAGATCACAGCCGACGAATTGAAGAATCTGTCTACCGACAATATCATAGACCGAAGCGCTGAGACGGAAAGGCGTTACGGTAAAGCACTCCGACAGCAATGCAACGCTCCGAGTGAATCGTCGTCGCATCCCACGACCGTTTGGAGATCATTTTTCGAGCGCTCCCGGAACGCACGCGGCGACTGCTCGACCCGAGAAGAGTTCAGCTCCCAGCAAGGGGAGTTCGACGAGCGCGGCATCGACGAGAATTTCAGCGGAGAAGACCTCCTGGCACACAGCACGAAGAAACTCTCGATTTCCAAGGCGGCTCCGGACTCCGACTCCGTCGACGACAAAAGCCTTCGGAAAGAACGTTCGCATTCGACGAGCAAGGAAGCTACCGAAGACATATTTTCTCGCTACGGAAATCTTTCTGACGCAACTCGACGCTTCTGCAAACCGATCACGTGTCTCATCCTGCTGCTCCTAGTCCTCCTGCTGGCTTTGTTTATCGTCGGCCTGGTTTGCTATTTTCTCAGAGAGAAACAGGTTGACGATTGCCTGGAGAATATCAGGCAGCCCCTCGAAGCTTTCTGTCAGCTGAAGCAACCGGCTATGCGACTCGACTGGGACAAGTTCGAGAAGGCTTCGAATTCTCGGAGCCCTTTATCCATTGAGTTCGTCCGAGATAGTTTGTGCTACAATGATTCCTCCTCAAGAGCTTTCGCGACAAACATAACACGGGCCCTGCTAGAGTCGGTGGACAAGGATTTGTGGGCATCGATAGGGAATCTTTCGTACTTCAGACCCCTCCTCCTCGGAGACCCGGTTCATTTCAACCTGAGCGACAGAGGAGCCAACGCCTCGATTCATCTGCTGAGGCTTGGAACCACCGAAAACTCTCATCTTCCGGCCCTGCTCAAAGCTCTCGAGGCGCAAGAATACGTCCGAAAGGAACCGGACAACCGAAACTGGATGGAACAGGAAACAGAGTTTTTCAAGCAATCGAACGGCGAAAAGCTCCTCTCGAACTATTCCGCGGAAACGGTCATTTCCTTCGAGGGCTCACCGCGAGATTTCTACTGGAGCTTGAGGCTCACGTCGCGCTGCGGCCACATCGGTGAGGACACAGTGAATTACACCATGTATCAGACGAAATTGTACGAGATCCGTAGGCTATTGGAATGTTGAACTGGGAGAATCAACTTCGTCGGCCCAGCCGGAGCTCCTCATCCGGCGAAAATTACTGGATGCGCAAGCTTCCGACAGGTCGATGTGCTCTCTTCTCGGCTCGCTTGCGTCTCTTCCCAAAACGGTCTTCGGAGCTACCTTCTTGCCCACTAAATATAGCTTTGCTGATCCGAGAGCCCGACGTATCAAGCAGAAGACTCCGAGTACCTTAATCAGCGTGCGAGCGGAAACGACATCCGAAGCGTGGCAACAAGTTCCAGCATTGGGTACGAAACCTTGGGGACGTGGTTCCTCCTTGCGAACGGTGTCAACTTTTGTGAAATTATTCCTGGTCGAGTAGCTAATAAAAGGCGAGTACTACTTTTGGAAAAGGAAATGGAAACGCCGCAGCGTTGGATCGAATCACCTGCTCTATCGGGAATCGAAATCGGTCTTCTCTCAAGCCCATTCTGAAGGAGAGGAGGCAGGGGCACGCTCCGAATGATCATTCGCATACCGGTATCTTCGATCCGTTGGCATGCGCTAGCTTTCTCTCGATTCTCATCTCCGCCAAGGCTCTCGAAGTGAACTAATTCCCATTGAAGCGGCTCGCCGCCCATAGAGTGATTCCGAATTATTCCGAAAATCATAAGGACAGCCCAGGGAGCAGCTGAAAAGGTTTCCAATACAAAAATGTAGTCAAATCACGATCCTTCAGACTTCTTTGTTCATTGCTAGATTTGTAACTAGCGAAAAACAACAGCGGACCACCGATTTTGTGGCTGAGGCGTTCGCGATGGACCGCATTCCGGAAAGCGCCGAAGCTTCCGGGAGATCGAAAGAGATCCCGGAGGAGACGCCAGCATCCGACAGTGATGTTCTTCCGCTGCTGAAGTCGGTCAGTCAACTATTTTAGGTGTTCAAACGGGTCCTACTCCGAATCAATCCGCGCCTAGCTTCGATCCTAGCGGAGCAGCCGCCAGAAGAAGAAAAATCCCTTTTGCGTCGTTCGAACAAGCTCCTATCTAATTAATCTATCTATCACGGTGTGTTCAGCCACGCCCACAGCAAAGTTCCTCACCGATTGTTCTCAAGACGACCGAGGGGTAAGAATGAAACTTCTCGCAAGGGATCAGGGTCTCGGCTCGGCCATTCCAATTTACTGTCTTGTCGACTCAAGTTCATGAATTGCACATGCGGCTCTCGTATTTCCGAACAACCGTCTTCATCATGGCCCGCTCACGAGCGAGCAATCTCTGCGCTGGAGACCTTCTTTTCAAAATAGAGCGCTCAGCGGGAGCGAACTCTGAACCCTGAGTTGGACGGATCCGTTGTCGTTGGCTTGTCAGGAGATCTTTTTTTCCACCTAACTTTGCGCTAGGAGGTAGCAGGGATATAGACGCTTCCACGACAGCGCTTACTATTAATACAACACCTGTCCTCTCATACAGATGGGCAGCAATTTGTTTCAATGAACGCTCGATTCGTCACTTACTCACCGGCACAAAACGCGTAACTTGGATAGACAGAAAGAGAGCGGGAATGAGCACAGAGGCAGAGCCTCGAGGCCGGATTTCATTTCGCGCGGCAAACTTCCGTCGCTCAGCGGAACTGGTGAGCATAACACAACCGGGGAACGTCGAGTAAACCATGCTCCGCACACAGGCGAGGTTCCGGTGAGAGCGTGATCTCACACAGATGTTGACAACAGGGCATAGCAGTACCTGACACGGTAAGAAAGCGAACTCGCAGAAAAACACCAAGGCAGCCTCCGTGGCGGGGTTGTTCCTAAATGCAGCGATAAGGCCCTTCCTGCTGCAGAACCCACAAATTAATTAGGCGACGAGCGACATTATACACAAATAGCCAAAGAGAATCCGAAAGCGGTTGGCCTTGGAACTGGTCTGGTATGTCTTTCTACTCATTACACCATAGAGATCACGGTGTCTCGGTCTCCTCCGATGTTTGCAGGGTCTACAGCTAATTGGAATCGCGGACCGTTCCCTCTTCCGAGGTTCGCCTTTCGAGAACTTTGAATTGGATTCTCCCGATCCCTCGGGACTTTCACTGTCCTCGATTAGCCCCACATGGAGAAATTGCAGTCTCGGATCCGAGAGTTCCCGAATTGCTTTACGTTCAATAATTATTCGTCGTTAAATAAATAACTTTCTCTTGATAAGTCCCTCGCGAAAATAGACGATCGACTCCTTTCTGCCCGCTTGACGTCGAGCCTTGTACGGAAAGCCCCTCGGTAGAGGCCTGTCTAGATCAGTCCCTCTCTATCACTCGGCTCCCTCCGAGCTCCCTCCGACTGACACTGATTGCCAGAGGATACTGCGTCAAGGAGAACGAACCCGCTTGAGGAAGGGGACACCGGCGTCACCGGAGCAATAGTAGAGGTGAAGGATTGAATATAAAGCTGGACAACCTGTCGGAGGTGGGCAGTGATTCCGGTCGAGGCAAGCCAATGATTCGATGTCAGCCGGACACGTCCAAGGTCGCCGAGACTAGATGAAGACCAAATCATGCCTTGCCGTCTGGGGGCGCTAAAGTACTGGAGTCGAGCACTCGTCGACTCCTATTTACGAGATCGCTGGAACAACCATCCGGGCGAGAACGCTCGAGAGTTCAAGCGCGATACGGATAGAGTCCCGTAGGGGTCGAATTACGTGAAATGCTTCAAAAAGAGTGCTGAGAACTCCTCTGGGTAGGAATCCTGGGACTCCAGTTTATTGTCGTCGTATATCCGCCGGCAAACGAACAAGATTTTGGGCGCGTATTTGCTGGCTGCCAAATAAAAAACCGTCACAAAATGCTCGGAGTTCTCTTTTCTCGAATTTCACCTCTCGAGATCCTCTTACGGACTCGCGATACAAGCGATCGTAAGCAAGGGCGCTGTTCGGGTCCGATGGGTCGCATCGATACACGTCTCGCGGCAGAATGGGATGCATCGAGAATCCTGTCGGCTCGCTACAACATTGATCCCGTATGGAAACAAAAACGCTCGTGGAACTGTCGCGGAATTCGAGCTTACGTTGTTGCGTTGTGGGTCCTGGGAGTCGCAGGCAGCCGCAATGCACGAACGTGGCGCGGTGTGCTTTTTTACTTGTCTCGTGAATAATTGAAACGTCGCTCTGTTCTATTCAACTCTTCGTACCACAGAGGTAATTGCATTGTGATCCCACTGTGGGACATCCATTTGAGGGAGCTTGTGGATCCCTTTGTCTCATTGAAACGGAGGAAGGCGCTCTTGATTCGCGCGTGAACGCGGTCCCTGACGCGAATGCCAACAGGGCTCCACACAATGACCTGTGGCTTCTCTGCATGGCTCGCTCTCTGATCAATGGTCCAAGAAGGGGAAGGAGATATCCTAGAAGGTCCTGAGCGTCCTCGGGAGACGGAAGCAGCTGTTCCGTTGGTCCTGTATTGGAAATGATAATCTGGAAACGCCTATCTATCAACGTCGGAGCGCGAGATTTCTCTCCTCGGGTAATGGAATCTTGCCACCGATGCTCGACTGGACTTTATTGTACAGTGAAGGGAGATATTAGCGTTTTGTCGGAGCTTCTCAGTTGTCAGCCATTATTCATACCGTATACATAAAATGACGCCCATCGATCTCCTCTTGCCGATCTCATCAATCGTGCGAACGGTTTCATTATACAACACCAGGGAGAGCCGTCAAATTGTGCGTTTGGAGATATGAGCAGTGAGCTTGGCGCATTATTTCGTCCGATCTCCGAGGAGCTCGTCTGCCCTCGAGTGAGCTGGACAGGAAGCAGGCGGAATTTTCTTTTGCCTTCCGTCGTTAGGATCAAGCGCTCCTGGCGAGTTCGTCTGCTTCGTTCTGCTCCGTTCTCTCATCGCCTTGACTGCGAAACGACTGCGATGACTGGCCACCGGCTATATGGTCGAAGGGATAGCCCCAGCTGCTGCAGCAGCAGGATCAGGGCGGGACGAGGCGAGACGAAGCTTCCCCTCAGGAGCAATCGCGCAGATCCTTCTAGCGGCCGCTGGTGGCAGTGGACGCAGAGGCGACGACTAAAATGGCGAACAATATATCGTGGCCGTTCGATCGATCCATCACGACAAGCTCGTCTCCATTATGAATAAGTAGCCGCGACGCGGCGGCATTACCGCCGCTCTCAGGAGCCTCGAAGGAGCCCGCCAGCCGCTCCGCCCGCGATCCGATCTCGGTAGCGAGCAAGCAGACCGCGGCTTCAATACTCACTGTAGTCATCATGTCATTCGGGCATCATCCTCGAACGAGTCCCGACGGCCTCCGAGGAGCGCGGACCGACCCCCGTCTGTGAACGATTCGCTCCAAAAGAAGAGATTCCGACCACGGTTATTATCGCGGCTGGTGCGTCATTTTCGGGACGCCGGCCAAGAGCTCCGAGGGTCAGGCGCGGTGCCTAATGGGTTGACAAAGGGAGGCGCGCGCTAGAGAGCGGGCACGGAGGACTGGAGCCCTTGTTGACTGAGCGCGAGGACTGGATTGTCCTCCGAAGACGTGGAGCAGCGGTATCGGATGCCAAAATCTGAACTCTTCCCCTCTCGCCGCTTGTTCCGAGCGCTCTACTCTTGTTGCGCCAGCGTTTTCCGCTCCATCGTCCTTTCCGTTCACCCGAGCCTTGTTTGCTCTTTCGCGGTTATTGCGGATTCTTTAGTCCACAGATAGACTTCGGCGGTCGACTCGGCGGCGGGCGGGTAAGTGGGCGAATAAGTGGAAAACTTCTAATCCGGTTGAGTTATCAGAGGAGCTGCTGCGGGCTGAGGAGGCTGGTGTCGAGGCTCAGCATTTTTCTTCTTGGCTGGAGACGACCTACAAAACACAGGAACTACTTTGAGCTCGCGAAGCCGGTCAGCTAGCTTGGAATTGGACGCTACTCGGCGGAAACGCAGAATTTCCGTCGTTCGAGGCGATTCGGATCCTCGTACCAGCTTGCACTAACACCTACGGAGTCACGCCATAGACGAGAGACTCGAGACATCATGTATACGTGCACAGCAAGCCACGTAGAGCGTTTGTGTTTGCGACCCAGAAACTTCGATGTTATTATACGGAAAGTTTTTGTCCCGGGGGAGCAAATCCGAGAGCGGTTAGTAAATAAATTATTTATTAGCACGGTTTTCACCCTGATTTCAAGACGAGGATGCACAACAACGATTACTCGTATACTCGTATCACATTCACTACGAACCCATCTTTGAGAAACGCACGGGATCAACTTTCCCGGAGCTTATCTACCCGTCCGCCTACGCTCCCGACGGCGTGCTCGTGAGAACGTGAATTTCCTATGGTCGATCCCGTGGATAGTGTCTTTCCGTTCTGTTCGATTTTCCGTTCCGGACTAACGTGAGAAAAATTCTGTTTGTTCGATACCCTGACGAGTTTCGACCAGGCGTCGTTCCTGCCGTCGCTTTCCCTTGAGACTCTCCCCTCGATTGCATTCTTACGATTCCCGGGGCATTTCTTTCCGATGACACAATCATCATTGTAATAAATTCCTTTACTCTTCCCCCGTCATCGTATACCGATCCCGTATCAGGGACGCCGCTCCGCCGAATCGATTTCCAATCATGGGTCAACGTCTAGATTAGGTGGAGAACGGTCGCTGGCAATTTTCCTGGATTTGTCATGCGGGACTGAATGAGCGGCTGGAGATCAATTCTCCCTCCGCGTGTATTTTATCCGAGTGAGAATTTTCTCGATTTATCGACAATGACTACCGGGGGTGAACTCCGAGTGAACAATTGGCACCACTTTGTAAAGTCCGCTTTCGTGGGATTCGATCCCATTCTCGGATTAGGATCCATCGTCAAATCAAGCCCCGTATTAACAAGTGAGTATTTTTAGTTTTGGGTTTGTTGCCCCCCTCCGGAGCGTCGACTCCACGAGGGGAATCGTCGCGGTCTCATTTGGCCCGTCGCCGTAGAGCCACGGTCGCGCGTCACCAGCGACCGATAGGTCGAATGACAAGCGCTCGTTCGAAACAGTTCCCATCCGCATACTCTGGAGCGGAAACGTTTTCTGACGCATGGAACAACAACAATTGAAATACGGAGGTGCTCTCTGATCGGTGGTATTGGTGTGGAATAGAGATGTACACGATGACAACGAATGCTTTTTGTTACAAAGATGAGCTGGTTAGCAGTGAGTGTCGTGAATTATAGGGGATTGGGTAAGTGGTTTGGTGACGTCACAGCATCGGACATTGGACTCGGCGACGGAAGATACGTGCGTAGAGAAGGACATCCTGGCGGCGAGGCGAGCTCCGCGACCCCCGTTGATACCGCGGCGTAGAGCGTATCGGCCATATGAACGTTTCAGTAGGTGGTGCACCTTTGAACGACAGAGAACATTCATACGGTGAAAATCAGAGATGAGAGACGCCCACAACATCAATATTCGTAGGCTCTCTACCGACGGACGCAGAACGATTCTTTCCCATCTTCTCTCACCTCTCCGTTTAGATAGCAGAAAAGGAATGCGACGAAAGTACCCTGAAGACCGTCTGACGCCTTGCTGATGTAGGCATAGAAAGTGAGTCCCCCGCAATAGTCAGGGACTCGGTACAATCCGAGCAGAAAATGCATTCCGAACAGCGGGAATAGGATCATGACTGCACGCGCGGCTTTCCTGAAAAAAGGAGCAGGGAAGAAGTTCAGTTGGCGATTGCCGAGCAACGATGGCGTTGGTTCCGAACTCTATTGGCTCGCTGAGCTCGATCTTGTTAGCTCGCAGATTGGATCGTAGCTTCATCGAGCGGATTTCTGACGGCTCGTTGCTGGTGTTTGCTCTGTTCGGAAATGGCCAAACAATAACTTTCGCAGTTTTCGCTCGCTCGAAGGATGAAGATTAACTCAATCCACTCTCTTGTAAGTGTATCAAGGGCTCACTTACCGGAATTGTATGGGCTCTTGACCGTGAGAGCTGCGCAGCTTCGACACGAGTACGCGCATAATGTTAGTCAAGAAGAAGAAGTTACACTGAAAAAGCAAACAAGGGAAGATAAAGCCTCCGTTCCTATAATTATGCGCGCGAATGATCCTCGTGAGTCCGATGCTCATGAATGTTTCTCTTGACCGGGACGTCTCCGGGGCTTTCCGGAGGATCGAAATCTGACTGAGGGCAGGTATCACGTCTAACGTCAGGATAAAAAAATATTTTCCCTCGAACCGTCGGCCGACTGATCTTTCGCGAGAATTTCACCCGAGTATGTAGAAGTCGAAATATCTTGACCTACCACCAAACATAGAAGACTCGGTGCCATGTGAACCCATTCCAGCCATCCGCCGGTGACTTCGCAGCTTGAAAAAGAGGAGAATGGATTTTTCTGCAACCAACAAAAGTCAATAGAAGATGCATATTTCTCTCGGTTTGCGAACTTACTCTAAAGTTTCGTTCCCGCTGTAGATCATTGAGCCGTAGATGATGAGGAAGAAGGCCGGCATAACTGTAGTGAGGTAAGAAAATTGTTTTAGATTACGATAAGCCATTCTGCAGTCAAGGCACGTTCCGTGCGTAAAGCATTCTCGTGAAACAGTAATCGTTGCGGAGCGGGGCAGCATCGCCGAGGAACTGCGAGTGCATACGATAAGAGGGATCTCTGCTACTACAGAACCTCCCGGGTCTGATTCGACGGCTCTCCGATTGTGATTGCTCTCCGCGCACCCGAGCGGGAGGGGATTACCGCGAAGAACTCTCCTCGTACTCACCCCAACCGAACGCGTAGAATGGCAGCATGGATTTCTGCTCCTTGAAGGCGGTTACGAGAATTTTGTGGAGGTAGAAACCCTCGCAGAACATCCAAGCGTATTGACACATCCTGAGATATTTGATGATTAAAGTCAACGAACGGCACAGCCACTGAAAACACAATAGGTTCCCATAATTGTGAAGTTTCGCGATTTGAACAAGAATCATTCCTCCATGCCGAGGTCATTTGTTTCCGACTCAAGGAGCAAAGGACTGATTTTCGGCTCTCCGTCTGTCCTCTTTGGAAACAGGGGAAAAACATTCTCGCGCTCTCTGGATCAGAGAGAGAATCGGTCCCACCTCCCACCGTGGTCGGAGCAATTTCGAGCACGGAATTCCATTGCGTGCGTTGCGGCAACGGGCGTTTTCCGCAATCGAGTCGACTTGCATGAACTTCACTATATTCTGTGGGGCTCTGGCTGGGTGTGGAGACTTACGAGAGTAGAGGACGGATCCAGTGGATCAGGATCAGTCTTTGAAACCCTTGACATTGTGAAAATATAGTCCTTGGCTATAGTGGCGAGCCCGTGCAGCAACAGTGAGATGCAGACATTCTTATGCAACAGGATCCGGATTACGCGGAGTTGCCTGCCGGGAAAGAACACGGGATGAGAGGAGAGATCCCCGGAAAATCTGGATCATCTTCTTTCGACAACGTGGGTTGGAGCGACGTGACGAATTTCCGCCGTAGATTCGGGAGAGGAGCAAATCCCGTGAACACCATGCGGTTTTCTAACACCGCAAGCCGTCTGGCAAGTCTCGTTCGAGCCTCATCTTACTTGTATATTGAAAAAATAACAAGGGTCGGAAGTAGAAGCACTGCCGACAGTGAATGCAGGTAGATGCTGAGGTACACTTCGAGATGACGGTCCTGAAAAAGCGAATTTTTCTTCAAGCTCCGCTCGGCGAAAGTATCAGCTCGACCATATCGGGCCAGCAGTCGGGAGGTGCATTGGAACTTTCTCTCGTCAAATAAGGTGGCGAAACGAACGGAGCCTTATACGAAATCGATGCAACGAATTCGCGCCAGATTGGCTTCCGACGGAGCCTGGGAACTCTCACTGCATAGAATCAACCGCTTTTTCTATCGTTCCTGGCGGCTTTGTTCCTGGCATGCGAGCTGCGCGGGTGTAAGAAAGCAGTCAGGGTTTGACTCGGTGCTCATTTCTCGCGAACCTTGCCGATCATATGAGGAATCTGAGACCTTTACTTTCGCAATACCTCTGAACTGGCAGAGCGGATTCTACTGAGCTCCAACGACCAAATATCAAAAAGCAATTTGACTCCAATGTGGCGCGCGTCCGTTCGCCCGTCCGTTCACTCGTTCGCTTCCTTCCCTTCGGAACTGCGGGGGCATCTTCATTCAGTCCACGTCAATATCCATTTGACGAGGAAATTCTTCGGAGACTCACCTCTGCTGTTCCACAGTTATAAAATGTGTATTCGCGCTCGTGTTTCCTCTGCCAAGTCCCATCAGCTTTGCAAATCTTATGGGATGTTTCTGCAAGACGAGCGTGAGATCTCAGAAAGCGGACTCCGAAGTGTTCACCCAGCAGGATGCCCGTCAGAAACAATTCATTCTTCAATAGGCTCGCTATTGAGCATCGACTCGAATTACTTTCTCACTCACTTCTACAGAAAGGTTTCTCCGTGAACTGATAAACATGGTCGTGACAGAGCTGGGAGACTGTCTCTCCCGCCGGGGTGTCCCTCCAACAAGACCAGCCATCCCACGTAGCCGGGCAGAAGAGGCCTTCCCTCGCCATAGCTGGAAAATGTGACGACATTGAGAAAAATACGCGATGCGGATGATGATCAATGCACTGGACGAGACGTCTTAGGCGCCGTGCCCTCGTTCGTCTCCTAAGGGTGTCGAGGGCATCGAGGGGAGCAGTCGTAAACAAAGAGATGGATAAGAAGTGAGGACTTCTTCCGCGGAGGAAGTCCTGCAGGGAATCCGAATCCGTTGTGCTCGTAGAGAGAGAAAGCCTCAATTGAATGTCACCCCTGATATCGGTTCATCAACTCAGGGAAGCAACTCTATTTCACGAAAGCCGCGAGGTGGAGACTGGCGAAGCCTGCTTTTGCGAAGGCTGTCCGAACGTTCCGGACGAGATCCGCGAGATAAGGGAGATCAGACAGTCGCTATTGCACTGCTTGTCATCGTTGTAAATCAGCATCAAAGGAAGGTCTGCCTGAATTGTGAGAGAACGGCCAGCAGCAGAACCACCACCACCACAACAACAAGAGTCATTTCCTCCAAAGGCACTTCCTGCGAGCAACAACCTCTACCGACCGCCACGACCAACAACACCGCAGACACCACTACGAGTATCGTAGCCGCAGGATCCCGGCCACTAGAGGCAAGCGCTGAAACGTTGCGACGCCTAGGTACGAATAGGGTTGGAGGGGACTCTCCGGGCCTCGACAGGTTCCGCGTGCTTGCTTACCGGGATTGTTCTTGGCGCTCGTGGCCAGCTGATCGATGCAGCACTTCTCTGCCTCCATGGTGCAGCCCTCCCATTTGACCGCGTTGTACTCGTTGGCAAACGTACTATAGACAAGAAGACTAGCATTCGAGATGACCTTGGGATCTGTCCTTCGATGCTCGTAGCAGAACGTCGAGTTCTGATCGCAGGGCCCATCGCACAGCCGATCCCCGCAGACACTGCAGAGGTTCGAGATTGGGGACGGTGAATTATAAAAACGCAAGTATTTGCTTTCGAAGCAAGCGCGAGAAGGTGGAGAGCATACATACTTGAGTCTAGTTCCGGGTATGAACGATTTTTTATGCATGTATCGGTAACAACGTGCGGCTGTCACCCGAGTAAACACGTCTTGCGGTAGGAACGTCCCCGTCTCGAGTCGGCATAGGCCGGTGTGATTGCTCGTTACCACCGAGTCTGCAGCTGCCTGTGAACGGAACATGAAGAATCCTCTACAGATTTGACAAGCGAGCGTATTCAATTTTCACGGATGTTTACAGAATCTCGGCTCACCAATATCGACGAGAGAGCCACGAGTTCCACGAGCCGAGGTCCCACGCTGCGCACATCCCATTTCCGCGTCCACCCTGAAAGAAAAATAATACGTTCAATCTCGCGAAGAGGGGTCTTGACGCAGGCAGCTGCCTTCTCCGATGCTATAAACACTTGTTCAGCTAAAGTATGCATCGAAATAATTCTCATTCCTAGAATGGTATGCGCCTAGACGACAATGCGTATGTACAGATCGCCTGCAGGAGAAAATGAGCGAGACACTCATAAAATATCCTATAAGCGGAATGACATGGCCGAGACATCGATGGATTCTTTCCATGACAGGGCAGTCGACAACGTGACGGGAAAATTTCCGATCCATGAAAAGGATCGATACCGACGACATTGACTTCGAATTCTCGCTTATTCTCGGACTACAAGCGGCGAAGATTTCGTCGACTTCCGATGATGAGTCGCGCGTCGCACGTGAATGTTCCGACTATTGCGCCGGAGTGAGTCGCATGCCGGGGATATACTCGCGGTATGGAATTCCGCGGCGATCGGCTCAGGGAAACAACCACGACCGGGAGTAGTCCAACAAAACTGAACTCCGAGCAATTAGCTTCTAATGAAGCAGACAAGCTCGATAGATACGAAATATTCTGCGGCGCGATCGAGCGATCCGTCAAGCATACACCACGGCGCCGTGACCTGACGTCAACAATGTAGCCTTCCATTAGGCCAACGCATCAGGAATGCGCCAGCGACGGATTTCAAGAAACCAACGCTGATTGCGATGAACGCCGCACGAACCGGTCCTGATCTAAGGCCCCATTCGAGTGAGGGGGTGCGTCGGACGATTACCGCTCGATTAGGAACCGATGAAATCGGGCGTGTCTGAACGAGTTCGGATTTATTCGAGGGAGCCTGCCACGGAAGAGAACCCAGAGGGGTGAGTTCGCAGAAGCATAGACCGAGAGACAGAGGAGCGGAATTCTCGAATGTTTAGTCTTGCTTTGCATGTCAATAAATGCAGATCTAGGCTGTAGTAGCATGCGAGTTCTCGGTGAGCCGGAATCCCCGGGCCTCTAGCGGATGGCTGCAAGCCACCGGATTACTCGTCGCTCGAGAGCTTGTTCTTTCGTTCGGAAGGCTTGGAACTCATTTGATTAGATGCATGAGTTTGGCCTTATTTCCAACGTCCAACCCCGGGGGACCGTCCCGAGCTCAGCTCGCTCGCTCGCTCGCTCGCTCGCTCATACAGATGGGGAATGAAAGCCCGGCTGCGGAGCCGTGCGCGTCATGGCAGCGCTGACTGACTGAGCTCTGATCCATGGTCGGGAACAATGTTCCTCATGGGTTTGCCATCCATGGAGACAGAGTGCTTTTTTTCCGCGCGTGGCAAAGGAACAAGGACATCATGTGAATATCCGTCATCGGGAGCTAGTCTTATTCCTTTCCAGACCTCGAGTTTCGAGCCTTTTGGCTTATCGCTTGTATCACGTGAACGATGTCGAGCGAATTCATGTGCCCGTCCAGATATTTTCTAGGAATCTATCACACCGATCTCACTAGGTGGTGATTCTCTGAAGTTCGCACCGTGATTTACTTGGATGCTGTATCGACAACAACGCGGAGCATATTCCGAGCTCGGGGCTGCATGCAATATGCAAACTTCGCGGCGCCGTGGGACTGAGTTGTCAAGAAGATTTCGATCATCGCGTCGTCATCGCGAACGCGTTCGAGTGAGTTTCGCCTTTCCTCGCGCGCTCTGACCCTAGAATCGGGGCCGTAGAGTGGAAACCCGGTTAGCGGAAATCAGATTAGACCGCATCTTCATCAAAAACAAATTTCTCTCCCTCCTGGACTCGAGCGTCGCAGCCTCCGCATCGAGGTCGGCAAGAACGCTGAGTGGGATGCATATTTAGACGCCAAAAAGTGGAGCAGCTATCAAACTCCGCATTTTGTATCAAGTGCTCGACCGGCGCTCCAGAGGGAATAAAACCTTCGCGCCGCAAAATGTGGCATGTTTTATTGGCACGCGGCTTCGCGAACATACTCCCGCTTTTTGCGGAGCTCGTCTTTTTCTCCCTCAATTCATCGAGCGATAGCAGCACGGCTCTGCTTCCAAAGGTTCGGCTTTCGGACCGATTCCGTCAAATCTGGAGACCCGCCGGAAGCCCTCGCAGACCTTTCAATCAGTGAAGGTGACAGCTAGCGAGCGCGGCGATTTCCGCTCATTTCATAGAAGTATCAGCCCGGTCTGGAGCGCATCCAGGCCGTAGCGGAGCATATCTTCGCGTAAAATCATCTTATCGAAGCTACGAAATTATTGGAGCTCACGGACCGGGTTTGCGTTCCCGCGAATCGGAGTCGTGTTCTGGCAGTGCTTGGAATCAGAGTCCGGCTACCTTCGCTCCGTTCATGGAAAAGATCCGCGGAATAGCCACCGAGCCGTTCGAGGAAATTTCTTTTGCACTCGGTTCACTCCTATTGATTTCGTATAGGCACTCGCACAGCCTTCGTCAACATCCTATCCTCAATGTTTTGATTCTTTCACACATGGTGGCCTGGGCCCATAACCTCTGCTGAGGCAAGGGGCGAAGTCTCCATGAATTCTTCCTTCGAGACCGAATAGTCCGCGTCGAGCGATGTCTACTCACGAATGGGCATGGCGTGGAGTCTGTCCCGAAAATATGAAAGACCTAATGACGAAGACCAGATATTTAGACGGACTGTCGCTCCACGAAGTGCTTTCAGCCTCCGGGGACTAGTCCTTCCATTTTTGACGGAAGCTGTGTTTTAGATGGCGGATCCGACATCGGGGCCATCGATCCGTCCTTGAGCTTCTCCCAGACGGTGCGAGAGTAAAAAAGTTTCTGCTCAATCGGAACTCACGCCAAGGCTCTAGGTCACTCTATTTATGAGCTTCGATATTTCATAGTTGACAATTCCGAGTTGACATTCTGTCCTTCCTCGCGATATGGTGATTATTTTCTCTTCAGGTGCTCACCATTCTCTGAGGACTCGACCTCTCCGCGCGATGAATGTCACTTCGATTCCGTTTCCGTCCTATATAGAATTGAGCGCGGAACTCATGAATTGTTGATCGCGGCTCCGTCTGACTGATTCCTCGGTCTTGAATCGATCATAAATAAAGGTCCAGAGCCGGAACCACGAAACGATCATTACCCAGAATAGAACAAAGAGCAGGGACACAATGTCGAAGGCGATACTCGGATTTCTATTACCCTCCGTGGACCAAAGCGAACGGATTCCAAGATAGGGGAAGGTGCAATGATTCTTCCGGACAGCGAAGACCTGGCCGCCGTCGCACGGTTCTATCATTCCACGCTCCTAGTAAAGCAGGGGCGAAGTGAGACCAAACTGAGCGAGCCGAAATGGTCACCCGCCCCCTAGATCCGGGCTTGATTGCCCTTGGCTGAGGACACCCACTTTCGAGCAGAGCTGCTTCGTATCATTCTCCCAAGAATCGAAACCCGGTATTGGCCACGTTCGGGTCTCGAACAGAAATCACGTATTGCTCATATTTCATTCATCGATATATTTCTTATGTTTTACACCGCTTACAATCATTATCCATTTCTCTTGCCTCTGACAGAGGCGGTAGGACGTTTGTAAAGGGTTTTCTTCGATGGCCTCGCTCGGATCCCCCTAAACCTACTTTGATCGTTTTTCATCGTGTGTCGCGTGGCATTCGATTATTATCCTCTCGAACTCCGCAATTCAGAGCCAAGCTGTCCCGAGGAGACGGCCCGTGCGGCTGTCGAGCCGTCCAGAGCCCAAACTCCGGAGTCCGCGAGGCGTCTTCCTCGAATGGATGCTCAGGCCCCAACTGACTCGATTCGGGTGGGGGGAGGGGCGCTTAGCGAGAGGATTCCTATTCAGTGTTCATGGGACGAGCACTTCAGAGCGTGAAGGTAGCCCCGAACAACGAGAGGCTGCTTGATGAGGGCCGACTCGTACTCGCGACGAACTGCGAGAGGGATGGCATTTTCAATTTATTCACCTTCGAGTTGGCGTGCCATCTAGCCAACCATTCTTCCGGCTGGTCCCGGTCGCCTTCTGCTGACCTCCTGAGGAAGCTATTCGGCGAAGCTGCCGTCGGAAATCCACAGCGGTAATGGATTGCACTCTCAGAGCCGGAATACACCCTCTGTTCCGAGGAGTAGTTATTCCTATGACCGTAGTACGCCGAGCGACCATGTACTCGAGTTTGCGGCGCTCGAGCATGAAACCGGGACGCCGGCCTTTATCCGCGCGGTGTAGGACGTAATTAAACGGAAAAGCAGAGTAAGCCCAGGAGACAAGACAATGATAATATTCGGGCAGATAAGAGTCCTTCGTCGGGATGCTTTATCGGTGGAAGAGCCCAGCTTGTAGTTGGTCGTATGCCGAGAGCTTCGAAGGGATCAGGGCCAGAGAAGATTGAGATGAAAAATAGATTCCTGCCGTTTGAGTTCGATTGGGAAGTATTATTTGACTGGGAATCGACCGTGATACGTTTCTCATCGTGCTTTCTTTGAATTCGGGAGAAGGATGAGGAGCATCCCTCTGGGACGCGAGGAAATCGCTGCTCCAATGTCTACTGATGTCATTGGAGACACCTGCGAGAATTTCCCCTCGAGCCCCAAGTACCCGAGTTCGGCAATCGACTCGACGGCGACCTGCCGGAAAGCGAGGAACCGTATCTACCGATCGAATCATTCTGGGCAGGGGATTCTGATTCATGAGACTTTCGACTTACGCGCAGGTGTTCAATATCTCGAATCTCTCCATGACAGGGTTTGCAAGAGGCTGAAATTTCCGAGATTACATTCCGTAAAGCATACTCAACACATATGTATGCATAACATACGTACATATAACGATATAGTTCTCATTTCAAGATAGTCTTGGGGTTCCGGCAACCTGTCGGAAGTGCGCTGCGGACGCACTCAATAATATTCGATGAATTCGTACCAGTGGAATTTTCCACTACAGGTAACATCGTATCGCACCCCTCATCGATGTCTAACCAGAGCCGACTGATTGGATCAGCATTCGCATCTCGCACTTGTCGAATACGTCTTCA